ATATATACGTAAGATTAGAGAATTAATAGATTCTTCGAACTGACTTTTTCATCGACGCGGTCACGGTCTATTAGATTTCATGGGATGATAAGATTTAATTATAATTATTATAAATTGTAAATAATTATAATAGTTTGACTGAAAATTACGACGATAATTTAATGTTGTTTTTTTATGCGCGACAAGAAACATCATCCCAATGTGCGTATGTATGATTCGCTATTCTTTTTTTGGTGCGAAGCAAGCCGATCCTAATTTTTGCTTGTCGATAGAGCCTTCTCTATTAAACAACTGAGTGATGAAAAGTAACGATGTAATTTTCGTGCCCCAGTAAGAGATTATTATACCAACCGCACGCCTTCTTCATACAATTTATTCCAAAAAAATTCTTCAAGCTCATCAGCAGCTTTGACATAGATTGTCGATGGTGAATTATATTGACGTGCGTTATCAAATATGCGTTGTGCATCATTCGAGAATTCATGGATTGTGGGATACTTATCGTTCTCCATGTTTTGTTTGAGAGTTTGTAAATCCATTGGGTTTTTGATAATGTGATAATAGTCGGGAACTATTTCCGCGTTAACTGGTTCTTGGAACGGCCATGCATACCGGTGATTTCGAAGCGCTTGTAGTACGGTAACCATCACAGGATAATGTGGCAAGTGCTTGGTTTGTTTAGCTTGATCTTCCATTTGTGCGGTCCATCCTGATTCTTTAATGCCGGGAACTTCCATCGGATCAATGTGCTGCGCACCTTCTTTAAATTGTTGCAAACCAGGATAAACTTTTGCTGAGGTGTATCTTTCTTCTAATTTTTTCTTGATGGCTTGACGTTGAGCTTCGAGAATTTTTTTCACGTGAACATATTTTATTCTCGGAAGCATTGAACACTAATAAGTCAAAGAAAAAAAATAATGTCAAAAACAGTCAAAAAATTTTAATCCTTAATTGAATAATAATTAACCTGCATTAAGGTTCCTCCAGTATAATCTTTAATATATCCCACCCAAACTCCCTGATCTAGATCGATTTCGGTGGTAAATCCATTCTTTTTAAAGAAGCCAACAGCCAAATCATCTGCATAAGTCATAAAATGTTGGATGTCCGATGTAGCTCTTATATAGTCTTTAAAATAATTCATTAAACGCGATCCATGACCTCGAACTTGTTCTTGTGCATCGATAGCGCAAAACACAATTTCTGCAAATTTCTGCTCGGGAAATGGACGATACGTGATACCTCCGATAACTTTTGACATTTTATTACCAGTATTCGTTGGTCGAATAAGCACAACACTATAATGAGCCTTATCATAAGTCAATCGTGCGATGTAATGTTTAGGCATATTTGGTAGTTGGGTGGCAAACACCTTTTTCAGATTTGTGAGCAAAATCAAGTTTTCACGGGTATTATCGTTGGTGATGCACCGAAATTCGAGATCTTCAGGAAGACCTTCAGGATACTCAACGGATGGTGCGTTTTCTTCTTCACTTTGTTTTAATCTCTTTGGTGCCGGTTGTTCATCATCTATGGCGTCTTGATCATAATCTTCATCTATATTATTGTTGTTGTCATCATCATCATCCTCATCCTCGTCATCCTCATCCTCGTCATCTTCTTCTTCCTCTTCTTCCTCTTCCTCCTCCTCCTCTTCCTCCTCCTCTTCATCATCAGTTAAAGGCCTTTTTCGGGTTTGCATAATTCTTATATTATTGGTCATTTGTCCTCTAAGCATCTTAACCTCATCGTCTTCATATGCAAAATCTAATAGCTTATTTTTATCTTTGAGGTATTTATCAATTTTCATGGCTATATCAAGGCGCCTGTTAAAGTCTTCATCTTGAATTCCACCATGAGAACTTAGGCGGTGACCACAAGAGCACGAATCCGCACGACTACTACCCGCTGGGTTTGGTTTCCAACCAACACAGTCGCATTGGCCACTCGACGAAGTAGGAACTTTTTGTGAGCAAGGCATGTGTCGACCAACCTTCATTAGTTTTTCGTGAATTGTAAGAGTGTTTAGAGGTTTGTCCGCAGGAGGATATGGATAAGCCCCCTGAAGTTTTATTCGAATTTTTTTGCCCGAAGACATTATTAATCTTGATCTATCGAGTTACCGAGGAAGGATAATTATCTTTTCAATGGACCTCTCAAATTGGGTGACTATAGAGGGGTGTGACTATAAAGAGTATGATTTTAAATAATGTGACAATAGATTTACTGTGCATAAAAAAACTGTCGATTACATAAGATGATATCATGTTTTGTTTGTGCTTTTTGATCCATCAACTAAATAATTGTTTTCTTCTGCTTCTCCTTGTTTTTTCAAAATCAATAAATTTAAGTTATAATAAATCATCCCATTATAGTCAAAGAAACATACCACAAGAACAGAAAATACCACTATTTTACTATAGAAAAATGGCCTTAGGGCGAAAACCGGTAACAAAAAGGGCAGACCCATATCCCAAAAACGTTCGCGGCGCACAAAAAAAAAGAAAAACAAATGTATCAATCGCAAGGAAGGTGAAACTAGCCGGTGATGTGGAAAAAATCCCTATACCCAGTTTGCCTTCAACTGCAGGACACGTGTTTGTTGTAGGCAACGGGGAATGTGGTCAATTGGGCGCGGGTGAGATGCAGGAAAGAAAAAAATTCGGACGTTTGAGTTGCTTTGATGGTAAAGAAGTAGTCGAAATCGCGGTAGGCCCACTGCATAATGTCGCTATTACACGACAGGGAAAGGTAATTAATTTCTATTCGCCTATTTTCTTTTTTAAAAATCTACCTTGTCCAATCAGAATATATTAGAGAGAGTTAACGAATCTAATTTCTTGGATTTAGATGTATACCTGGGGATGCAATGATCACGGAGCACTGGGTCGTGTCACGGATGAAGATGAGGAACGTACTCCTGGATTGATCGACGAAACGGAATTGAAAGGTGTCAAAATCATGAAAGCTGCTTGTGGTGGATCATTAACGATCGCACTATCTGATGAAGGAAATTTATACGCTACGGGAACATTTAAGGTATAATCTTATATTTATTTTTAGCTCAATGTCTTTATCATGATTCATTCTTTTTGATCTCATTAACTTTTCTTTGCGTCAGTCAGAAGATGGTATAATCGGATTTTCCTCCGAAAGACCACGACATCAACAATATCGTTTTGCACTATATGAACCCGCTTCACTGTTGGAAATTGCAGACATTGCTTGCGGTGTAAATCATGCCGCACTGCTCACGACAGACGGTCATGTGTATACATGGGGTTCTTCGGAACAATTTCAACTAGGTCGCCGCGGCTCACCAAGACACAAATCATTAACTTTAGTTCCAGAAATTGTAAATCAACTGAAAAAGTTGCGCATCGTGAAAATCGGTTGCGGCAATTTTCATACATTGGCGGCAGATGATGAGGGTCATATATACGCATGGGGGCTCAATAATGCACGACAATGTCTATTGGACCCAGGTAAATATGGTGGGATACACATTAAAGAACCAACACAGATTCCGTTCTTTGAAAATGTAAAGGTGAAGCAGTTGGCGGCCGGGATGCATCACTCAGTCGTGCTCTTGGAAAACGGTCAGGTGTATACATTCGGGAGCAAGGAGAATGGAAAATTAGGTCTCGGCGGTGACGAAACTTCAGATAAAGGGTACAACGCGGTTGCGGATCTAAAGCCCTTGGATCTACCTGTGATAAAATTGATTGCCGTTGGCGATTTTCATAATTATGCACTAACAGAGGATGGCAAGATTTATTCGTGGGGAGATGGAGTAAGTGGACAATTGGGAAATGGGGAAGAGACCTGCGAATATACGCCATACTTAATTGAGGATGAGAGGTTTGAGGATCAATACCATGTTAAACAAATCGGCTGTGGGTCTCAGCACACAGTCATGTTTGGTATAGCTCGATAAGAATCATCGTGATCTAACTCAGAACTGTAAAAAAAATTAAAATGAATTCTGAATCAATTGATCTTTTCGCATATTCATCATTAATTGTGAACCAAGTGATCATCGTGCGGCGTATTGTCTAAAAACCGAGGTTTAATAAAAACTAGGCAACTCAATAATCCATCATGGTAATAATAATTGGACAGAGACAGACACCGGATGGCGAATAAATCTTAGATTGTAAGCTAGATAATAGAAAAAAATTTATATATTATAAAGTAGAATCTTTTTCTCAAAGAAATTGGACAATTATTTTTTATTTATCGATAAAATGGTCACTGAACTAATATTCTTGGCCGCAAAACTTCAAAAACAATTAAACTTGGACTTAACCATCTCCCCTAAAGTTAAATAAAATTAGTATAATCAAAATTGTCATCCTGTTTCTCTGTCTCTCGATGTATAATGAATGTATGATAGTTATAGTGCAAGCTCCTTTAATTACACTAATTTGATTTAATAAATCGTAATTCTAAAGCATGATGAAATCTTCAATTTTGATTTTTTTTAGTGAAATAATCTTATTAAAAGTTTAGTTCTTGAAAGACACGAGATAAAGCAAAGCAAAACAAACAAACAAATAAATATGAATACATAAAAAAAGAAGTTTTATAAGTCTAATCATTAAAAATGGTGTCTTCTAAAAAATTTCTATTGTGGTGAATAATTTAGTGTGGTAAGGTGATCTTCTGTGTATCCTATTATATATTAATTAATTATAATATGAAATAAGTATCAACTATTTTATTTAAAACGACCATGAAAATCTGAAAATCTGAGTAAAACTTACCCCACTTAGATAAGAGTTCCACTAAACCTTTAAGCTTAAGCCACCATGCTTTCTTACTGACACGATTATTCATGTCAGTCTCTTGCACCAAGTCAACTACCGGCTAAATATATAAAGAATTGAAATTTGTGTTAATAAAATCGTAAAAACCATTAAATCCTGGAAAGACCACAGAGAGAGAGAGAGGTCACTTACGCTAAAATCAACATGTGCACCGAGAATACCAATCACTGCTGCAGATTCTTTCTGGTTATTAAATACTTTTGGACGTGTGCTACTAGCGTCATCTGCCAATGAACTCAACGCGTGTTTCTCTAAAAAGTTGATGCATTTCACGGCAAGTCTTACCGCGCGTATTCGATCAAGTGGGGAAGGCGAAGATCCCTGTTGAATATGTCCGAGCACGCATGTTCGGCAATCAAATAGCCCTCGACCTTCTGTTTCAAAGATGTCGGCTATTAAACTTGTTGTGTATGTATTAGAAACACACTCATTTCTGATGACGAAGTGATGATGAAGCTTTTAGTAAGAAAAAGATAACATGCGAGTAATTCATATTATAATTTCTCCTACCTTAGAATTAAACGTCCTGAACTAGTCCGTTTTTTATCTTCGCCAAATCGACGTGTTAGATGATTGATATCTGACTGTAAAGTTTTTAATGATACTCCCTTTTCAGGAATGTATACACTTGTGGCGCCAACCTAGAAAATGTATACCTTTAATAATACAATAAACGAAAATGAATACAGCAATAAAATTAAATATACCGCAAGTCCAGCCAATACAGCAAGGTATCCGCACTTTCCACCTTGTGTCTCTACCACAAAAACCCTTCGTCTGGACGCTGATGCAGATTGTTTAATAGCATCACAGCTATCAACAATAGCATTCAACGAAGTGTCACAACCCAATGAAAAATCAGTTCCTGGTACATTATTCGAGATAGTTGCCGGTAAACACACCATTGGTATGCAGAATGCAGGGTACTTGTCCCGTGCAGCAGTTAGCGTAACAAGAGATGAGAATGCTTCGAATCCACCAATCATAAGTAATGCCTCAATTCTATGCTTTTGAAATTTATACGCAATCATTCCCAGATCGATATTCGGTTCTGTTCGATTTGTGCCCAATTCTGAGCCACCTTTTGTTGTCCACCCATCGACACCGATCCACGAGAGCTCGTATACATCATCGTCTAAAAGTCCAGGGAATCCATTCTGTATAGCCAATGGAATGTGGCCACAATTTAAAGCAATTCGTGCGGCTGCATGGGTTGCTGGATTCATTCCTCCGGCTGGAGCACCAATATGAATAATACCAATGCGAAGACGCTAGATAGAAGAACGTTTTAATAATAAAAATTTAACTCAGTTTCTATTAAAAGAAAATCACAAACCTGGTGTTCTGGTAAAACCTTAGAATTATCATCTATTATAGTTGTAGCAACATACGCATTGTAATCTTCTTCAAATTCAGGGTCGCGTAATTCCATTGCCCGTCTAAAATCTTTTTTGCCAATAGCAATGGCGGCTTGTTGAGTCTAAACAATCGAAGAAATGATTACAAGTTGTTTCAAAAAATACCGTATTTTACAGTGTAAAATACTCCGGGTACAAATTAAGGGGGGTATAGTACGACGTGGGGTATTTTACTCGGTAAAATACGGTATCCACAGAGATGATAATCACGAAAAGCTTACTAATTTAACGGCTTCCACTAATGGCTGACAAGTAATCTTATTTTCACGGATGCCGATCATTGGAGAAGGTGTGTCCGCGGTAGATCGAAGAACAGCTTCAACAGCCTCAACTCCTTGTCTTGTAGCCTATTCATTAAAACGTTACATCATCGTCATCATCCTTACGTCGAACAAAATTTTTAGTTTTTGTAACTCCAAAAATATAATTGTCTTACTAGATTTCTGTCATAGACACAAGGTCTGCCTCCTCTCTGCGTATGACCCAAGCAAGTGACGCGAGTATCTAATCCCACGCGATTAATCAATAGCTCTTTGATATAGCTCGCCTTGATAGGGTTAAGATTTTTGTCGATCGCGCCCTCTGCAACTATAACAATGGTTTTACGTTTACCAAGTTTACGATGCTACATCGTTTAAGTAAAACAACAAAATCAATAGAAGGTTATATTTTAATAACAGATCTGTTGTATTAAAGTGATATTTCTCACCCGTTTTAAAATCTCACACATTTCAGATTCCCAATCGTCAGCAGATGGAGGACGTTCGGGAATGAATACAAAATCTGCGCTAGTACTAAGTATTTATGAAAGAATTGAATTAACAACAAAACTCTATTTAAATAATTAAGATTACATTATTCAATTGATCGTACCTAACAGCAGCCATCAAAGCCAACCATCCACAATATCTGCCCATTACTTCAATAACAAAAGCACGCGAATGACTTGAAGCTGTCGAAGAGATGTTATCGACAGCTTCACAAATACGATGTAATGATGTTACTGCCCCGATTGTAAGGTCTGTTGATGACATGTCATTGTCAATAGAGCCAACCATCCCCACTATTACAAGGTGAGTGAAAGGTGCAGCCTCTTCTTGTGTCAGTCGTCCTATTGATGAATATAAGTAAAATAAATTTCAATTTATGTTAAATTTATTTAATTATAATTTCAAGTTTACAAACCTTCTCTAATCAACTCTTCTAACAAACCAGACCACTCAGACCTTAATATATCTGCACCGGTCAAAGAGCCATCACCACCACATATAATAAGCGCATCAATTCCATTTTTTACTAAATTACATGCTGCTTTTAATCGGCCTTCTCGAGTACGAAAAGTGTTGCATCTTGCAGTCCCTATAAGAGTACCACCCTGATAATAATTTAATAGATGTTAAGATAAATATATAAAAAGCGCTGATTTTATTTCTCCCCTCTATCTCTCTCAAAGGTAACCCACCGAATCATTCTCAACTCACAATGGACAGATAACCTCTCACATCACCCCAACCAAATTTTCTAATCATATTTCCGCCCTGCACCAGCCCTAAATTATTTAATAATCGGAATTGATAAATATAAATTATTAAAAGACGAAATACAATTAAAAAAAAAAGACGAAAAATTTCCTACCTTCATATCCCTCAAATATCGCATATGCTTCACATCCACGCGAAATAGCTACTCTTACAATCGCACGAACAGCTGCATTCATCCCAGGCGAATCACCACCACTAGTCAATACTCCAATTCTTCTTCGTCGTTCATCACTAGTTGATTCAGTTCCGTCTGTCTTTAAGGGTATCACTACTTCAGGCTGTTGTCGGTTTACGTAAATATTCTTACTAAATGGTATCAGTTTATTTGTGAAACTGATCAAATTATTTAGCGGATCATGTGTGTAAAGTACGGCATGAATGAATTCATCCTTGGGAGGTGAAAAAAGCGGATCAAGTGGATTAATGTCGGGATATGTGAATTTTTGGTACAAACGGTTTTTGGATTTCAGAGCTGATTCGAGGACCTTAATTGACAAATTCAAAATGTTTAACATCAGCGAATGGATATACCGAGCATTATCTTTATTTTTATGAAAAACGGATCGGATCGCGAAGTTTAAAAGAAATGCGTTTTTTATCATTTAAATTTTTGATTCCAAAGTAAACGCCATATCAATTTTTTAGAAATAATACGTACAGTGATACTTTGCGACACAGCAACAAAACACACATTGTGTTCCCTCAAATCGCCATTATCTATAGGAATATCATTTACCACGGCATTTGGTGATAAAATCAATTTTATAGTGATATCAGGTACAGAATTTTTTCCAAATAAATTCAACCAAGTTTCTTGCGAGGATACGCATTCTCGAGTAATGCTGCCAAAATTTCCATTAATTTTAATAATGTTACTATTATTGGCCACAGTCTCGAACCCCAACGAAGTATAAAATTCTACACATTGTTCAAATAGACTAGTGTTTGGTGCTGCAAGCACGAAATGTGAAAGTCCATCAACCAAAGACATTGTTGCGTGTGATTTCTACGAACGATAAAAAGTAACTCATTAAAAATCGTACGATTAATCTTCAAATAATTTGACACAAAAATTATAGAAGATCAAATCACGCGTATCTTCGCCAAATCGAGAAAAATCTCGTGTAAAATGACAAAACTCCGATCTACAAACACAATTTTACACTGAAATAACGGAACGCGTTCTGAAGGGAAATCTACAAGATTCCAATTCGTACGATATATAATAGCCTCAAGAAATTGGTACCTCTAAGGAACCGGCCGGCCAAGAAAAATATTGCGAGATAGACTCGTTTGCATTGTTTTACAGGAATAATAAATGCGTAAATGTAAATTGTAATTCTCCTCCCGAGATACATTAATGAGAAGACGTCGGCGGTTTCAACAAGATAATGATCCGAAGCATAAGAGCTCTCTTGCTCGAAAATTTTTTGATAATAACATCATTCAACTTTTAGACTGCCGTCTTATAATCCAGATCTAAATCCATAGAAAATCTTTGAGGAATTTACTGTATTTAAATGCCAAATTATTTGCAAGAGACTGTAAATCAAATTTTAATTTAGATAATATACTGCTAGCCAATCAACAATCATGTTCAATTAATTAATGCTCACGTGCACATACAACACGTGATCTGTTTAAGTGCTTAGGCGCAGGGACCCGGTTGTGATTTTGAAAAAATTCCCGTTTTGAAAAAATTCCGAAATGAATTTTATTAATCATAATTCTTGACTAAGATATCATCACTCCAAAATTTTGTTATAAGAACTAAAATTAACGCTAATGAAATTTTGTAAAAGTGTCATAGATACATTATTATTATTATTAAATGTCGAATTTAACGCTTGTTTGTGTGATTTGCTATTGTATTAATATACGAAATAATAGTTATTTTATGTTTCCATTTAATCGAGTGATTATAAACCGACGACATACATGTAATAAAATTCCATTATCATAACAGAAAACTCTTGTGGGCGATTATATGCAGTTATTCGTTTTGCTTAAGAGGAATTTTTCATAAGGAAAACGATAAAAGATCGTAAAACAATTTTTTTGTATGTAGTATACATATATATCTCTCTCTCTCTATAAAATTCCCTTTTGTACCGATTTATTCCATTTTGTCTCAAAATTCTGTTTTATACCGATATGAATTTTTCCGTGTCCCTCTTAGCGATGTATCAAGATTAGTATAACTGCCAACATCATAGCCGTCTAAATCTATTTATGTATTATTAGAAAACTTTCACTATAAACTCCGGAGTAATTTGCTTTAATGATTTCGTTTAATTTGTTTTCTCCGGAAGATCCAATGGTCTAACGAGGCTACTTTATAAAACCTCTTTTTACAACCTTGGTAAATCCTTCAAAGAAATCCATTCAAATAATCCATGTTTATTCGATATCTTTATCTCCGTTATTCAATTTATCATTATACATTCGTTTGCGATAAAAGATACATGGCCGGCAATGTTCTATATTTGAGTTCACTTATCATTATGTCGATATATGAATATGAATTGCTTGAAAAAACGAGATAATGTTATAAAATTATAATACATGTTCATCTAGAGTACCGAATTTGATTAATACCGATACGCGTACATGTATATCCATGCTGCCTAAAAAGCAAAAAGTCCATCTAAGTTATGCATGAGCAAAAGAAAGAATATGGTAAAATGGGTCAGTGCTAAAGATTTTCGAATAGTAATACCGTATTGTCCCGGAAATAGACACCACCTGAGAATAAACACCACCCCCTGTTTTATATATTTATTATATGTGTTGAAATTTAGACGCGTCTTTTATCCATCTTGAAATCATAGAATGATCGATTGTGAAATGTCGTCCAGCACTACGGACACCATGAGTATTTGCATAGGTGATAATCTCGATTTTTTCGGCGGAGGCATCGTTGTGAGTTGATCGTTTGGCGGAAAGTTAATAGTACGCGTTTTTCGCAGATTAAATGCATGCATGAGATGTTTCAAATAATCACGCATCTCATGCATGCACGAAAATTGTGATACCACAAATCTTGAACAAGGGGGTAACGATTTATTTGGGAAGGAGTCTTCCTTATATCGCGCCAATTTAAACTGCTCAGGAATAAGCACCACCTTCATTTTGATATGTTGATTTGGCGGTGCTTATTCCCGGATTAATACGGTAGAAACTGTCCAGAAATAAGCACCATCCCCTATTTTGGAGTCCAAAAAGCGGCAGTCAAGTGGTGAATCAAATGAATACCTAATTATAAATATTAATTATTTATCAAAGGAAATACAAGAAAAAAACCTAGTTATTATCAAAATTTTTTAATATTAGTCTTAATATAAACATAATTTTGGCCAAAATCCTTAATGCTGGCCTAATAATAATCATAATTGATAAAATTAAGTGATGAAATTTTAAATTTCTTAAAATGAACATTTTCACGTGACAGTCACATTTTTCGTCATATCGATATGTACGTCGATCATATCCAAATATTTTAACACCAAAAGATCTTTTGATAATCTTTTTGTTCAACGTTTTTATTTTTATTATCGCTGACGAAATCATTTATTGTCAAACTAAAAAATTAATAAAAAAAAGATGACCGAATCATCAATATCACTGAGTCATCCGCAAATCAATGGTAAGTTAGTTTACGACAAAAATGTGATGTGACCATGAAATCGAAATTGGTACGTATCATATCATAATCGATTTATAATTTCACAGATGGATGGTTTCGTGAGAAAGAAACGCTTTGGCCCGGGCAAGGTGCATATTCACACATTAGTTTCATATCCAACTATTTAATAATCTAATGTTTTGCGCTAATTATTTGACGAATCAATCAAGCAATGTGCTTAAAAGTCAAGGAAATTCTGCATGTTGAAAAATCATTGTATCAGGATGTATTGGTATTCAAATCTGAGACTTATGGCACTGTTTTGGTTTTGGATGGTGTAATTCAGTGTACTGAGCGTGATGAATTTTCGTAAGTGGTTATTTGAGCCATTGAAAAGCTTGAAACTTTTTTATTCTTAATTTGTTTTCTTTACTTTTTAGTTATCAAGAAATGATTACGCATCTAGCAATGAATTCTCATCCAGATCCGCGTAAGGTATTTTGTGCGAGTTTTTAACATAGAGATCAATTTTCCCTATTTAAAAGATTATGCCCATATGATATAGGTCTTAGTGATAGGTGGCGGAGATGGCGGAGTACTACGTGAGGTTATTAAACACGATTCTGTTGAAGAATTAATACTATGTGAGATTGATGAGGTAAGTTACGGAGATGGTGTGCTAACTTTATGCAAAATTTTTCTATCTTAAATTTTAAATTTATAAAATCCGAATCAGGCGGTTATTCGCGTCTCTAAAGAATATTTACCAGGAATGGCAGTTGGATTCAATAATGATAAAGTTAAAGTTGTTATTGGTGACGGCTTTCCGTTCTTAGCGGATAAAGTAAACTCGTTTGATGTCATTATAACTGATGCCTCGGATCCAGTTGGTAAAATTTAATTCCTGGATAAAAAATGCGAGATTCGATTTTTCTATTAATAAATTTTTTGATTAGGACCTGCCGAGTCACTATTTCAAGCGAAATATTTCGAATTAATGCGCAATGCTTTACGGCCTGGTGGGATTATTTCAACTCAAGGTAAATTGATCAACTTCATCATTCAAGCATCAAATCTCATAACATACATTCAAAATTTCCAACAATTATATCTGATTAAAAAGGTGAATGTCAATGGCTTCATCTCTCACTCATCAAAGAAGTACAAACATACTGTCGCTCATTATTCCCAGTTGTCGAATACGCATTCACCACAATCCCGACTTACCCGTCGGGACAAATTGGATTCATGCTCTGTTGCCTAGAAGAAGGGCATAATCTCCGAAAACCAATACGTCGATTCACTCCAGAGCAAGAGGCAAAGTTGTTTCGGTATTATAATGCGGAAGTTCATGAGGCGGCCTTTGTGTTGCCACAATTTACGAAAAATGCTTTTGCTGAATAATTTTTTATGAGTGATTAACGCGTTTTCCTGTTATCGTAATAAAAAGTTGCTTTTGTAATTACGAAATTAACAAAATTATCGGTTGATATTAATATTATAATAATCTTTATTAAATTATCATTAGTCATGACTCATTATCACTTATTTGTTAATCTCACATTTTGAATTGTTTAAACGATTTTTTTGCAACATAATCGATGGGTGAAGGGTGCAGTCATGTAATCCTATATTTGAGAGGCATATGTCAAGCATTATCGTTATAGTTTACCGATCGTTACAAAATTTCTTCGTAAACGCCAATATTTTCAAAGGCAAATAATTCACATTCATGAGTAACCCTAAAGCATCAGCAAAATTTTCATTAGCGAATGTGCCAAACCCATTCGCTTGATATCATTTTCTGTGACAATATATGAGCTTAGCGATTTTTATGATCCATAAACAGATTAAAGCTTTAATTTTCTTATAGTTGCCAAAAGTTTTGCATATGTTATTTACACGTGAAATCAAATATATTTAAAAAAAAACAAAAGTTTCCGAACGCGATTTTTGGAATACAAAAAAAGGTAATGTTTATTATATTAATATGGTTTGTTTTTGTTTATTTTGTCTTAAAAAACATTTCTAATTCAGATTCATCATGAATAAATTCTTGATCAGATATTATTACTCTGTAAGTCTTTTGACAGACAGACCTTTTATTTTCAGTATCAATTTTTTTTACAAATTGTGGTTACAACTGCAACAGTGAGAAAGAATAACGAATTAACTGCAATAGTTTATGATACATGCCGAAACTGGATGCATGGAAAGCAATTCCGAAATGTATGATCAAAAATTTATGCCAGCACGAATTTAGGCGGTGATTGCGGCGGAAGGTGTCCCAATTAAATACTGGTTTAATAATATGAAATGTAAGTTTTGATAAGCTTAAAATAAAGTTTTTTTGGCCGAGTTTTAAAAATTATGTGTGCCTTGTTGGACAGTAGTGACGAAATAGTAAATCCTTTTCTGACGTCGGGAATGCATTGTGATTGAAAACGTAAGTTACGCCTCCTGAAAGTTATTCCCAAAATTATGAATCTAATCTATTATTAATAATAAACTAGAGGAGGAATTGAAAATACGACATGAAAACGACAACGCAATTTTTCAAAACATGAAAATGAACGCGAAAGACTTAGTGACAAACATGATGGTATTACCAAGATATGCAAAAAAATTGATTAACGAATATTGGAGTGAATATTGGAATGAATATTGGAGTAAAAATTGGAGTGAACATTGGAATGAATTTTATACATGAACATACACCGTAATTTACATCCATTCTGAATTACATAATAACTAGCTAATTCTATTTAATTTTTTCATTAATTGTAGCCATGATATATCTTTGGTACCAACATGCACATCAATCTGAAGAGAGTATTCCGGGAGACATGAAATTGCAATCATTTTCGATTTTGGTATTCGGTTAGTGTTGCAATTATTTTATTTTTTTTTTATCAAAATGATTTATTGACTTGATCATTTGTAATAGGGCGAGAATTTCATTTTTTAGGCATGCACTT